CGCGCAGCCACCCGGGCTCTGCAGCTCCAACCAGCCACCTCTGCCCGGCACGCGGCCCCGCTCCATCCCCTCCGGCCCCCCAGCTTTCCCCCCAGGCTCACAGCTGCTCCAGGGCACAGCAGCAGCAGCAGCCGCTGCCAACACCACACATCACCCCGGGTTTCTCTGCCTCGCTTGCTCCCGTCCCACGCAGCCCAGCTGGCTTCCTAGCACTGCTGCTTAATTAAAACTAACTGGGTGGAAAGCGAGCAACGAGAGGCAGAGCCCGCGCGGTTTCCGACGGAGGAGCGGATGGAGCGGAGCCGTGCATCCCAGGCTGCGCCGCAGCCGGGACCCGGCACGTCCCCCTCGTACCCCCAGACTCACCGGCATATTCCGGGTCGACATGAGGAGGGTAAAACCCAAACTTGATGAAGATGGGGATGGGGACGCCGAACTTGAACCACTCCACGACATAGGGAGGGGGCTGCCCCGTGAGCGGGTGGATCACGTCGCATCCCAGGATCACGCTCTCGCCAGCGCGAGCGGTCACAAACTCGGGCTCCTCCCTGGAGCCGAGGGCACCTGCGAAGGGGCAAAGGAAGAAACCGTGGCTGATTCTGCCACTGGACTCCAGCATCGGTGTTGGCTGGAGCACCGGGAGAGCCAGCGCAGAGACGATGCCCATCCCCAGCAGCCTGGCTCCACCAAGGGCAGCCCCTGGGTCTCCCCTGTCCTGAAACCAAGGCGGGGTTCCCCAAACCCCTCCACCCAGCTCCAGAGCCACCTGAGAACTCGGGACGGTCGCCATCAAGCACGCCCTGCTTTGGGAAGGCTTCCCACCCTCCATGCCAGGGCAAGGGTGGTGCCCAGCACCCCCACGGGGGTTTTGGGGATTCCCACCATCAGCAGACACACTGCCTGGGGCGGACCCAGCGCTGCTCCCCACCTGGCAGCACCACCAGGGCTGCCCCACATCCCCGCAGCGGGGAAAAGGCTGCTTCTACAGCCCCGCTTTTGTGCCCCTGCATCCGCCAGCGAGCGGGACCGAGCGTGCAGGGACCACCGACCCACAGCTCCGGTGTGCCAGCCTGGCAATCCGGCTTCCCTGCAGGATCCATCCCAGGGCTGGCTGAGCCCCCGGAGCAGCGATGCTCCAGCCAAGTCCGTAATCAGGCGTCCCCGAGAGCCCCAGGCCTGAAACCCGGCTGCGACCTGCGCATCGAGTCTGGCATCCTGCTCCTCCCCGCTGGGGTAATTAAACAGGGCTTTGGTCTGAGCCTCAAACGAAGGCGCTGCTCCACCCCGGGCGAGCCTCCCCGCTCAGCTGCAGCCTGTCGTCATCCTGCTCTCGCCATCAGCAGCAAAGCTGCATCCTCAGCACGGCTTTCAGAAAGGGAGAGGGAAACCCAGGGCTGGGGATGGGGGGGGGAGCCGAGGAGGGGAGGGTCCCCAAAACCGCAGAGCGCAGGGTCCAGCCCTCCGTCTCCCCATCAAGGAAAGGTCCCCCCTCTCCCCAGCTCCGGGGGGGATGCTCGGGAGGGATGCTCGGGGAGGGATGCTCGGGGAAGCACGTTCCCACTCCTCCGCGCTGCTCCTCGGGGCCGCCGGTGATTGGCGGCGAGTGACATCACCGCTTCCCCGCCGCGGGAGACGAGCATCACCGGCTATTTTTGGCTCCCGCACCAAAGCCGACCGGC